AAATAAATATTTAGCTCCAAATATATTATAATATAAATTTATTCTATAACATACCGTATTTTCACGACCATAGGGCGCACCGTACTAAAAGGCGCACTCTCAGTTATGTGTGCCATTTCTGTATTTAACACACACATAAGGCGCACCGGACTATAGGGCACGTTTTTTATATACCGGTACATGTCCTCTACTACCTTTAAATACCTCTACTGCGTATTTAAAAATACAGCGGGGGCAAAACTGAGTAGGACTGTGGTTTATTCATGTATTTATTACAAACTATTAATCAAACCTGTGTGCTGGCCGTGAGACAGACACATCGCAGATGACAGTGCGCTGTGATCACTCCTAAATTAACTTAAAATCCTGAAACCTGCCGACGGAATTTGTTCGCTTTTATTACCGGTATCCTGGTGTCTGCAGCTAAAATAATTTAGATGAAAAACACCTGCCAGCAGCCGCGGTGAACCTGGAGGCTGCCCAGCCTAGAGGCTGCTGATCATGGGCGTAGGTTTGCATAGGGACCATAGGGACATGTCCCTACCAAAATTTTGAACCGACCTAATTGTCCCGACCAATAATTGGATGTGAGCAACATGTTTATAATTTACAGCAGTAGTTGTTGCAGCAGTGGCTTCTTTTCCTCTCGCTGCTCCTCTGCCTGCTCTCTCCTGTCCCTTTCACGCAGCAGCGCATGGAACTGTGCTGCGCTGTTTAACTCCACTCTCATTGGTTGTTCTGCCTTAGGTTCCGCCTCCTCTCTCTCTGATTGGCTGTTTTCTAGTCCTGGCGTGCTTGGAGCACAGAATTGAAAATTTATTCACACTAGAATGCTGCGGTTACTACAATAAATATTAGGCTACAAAACTAGTCCCAATTAAAAAAAATGAATATCATGTACACTAAAAAACAAAAACCTTTTTTTTTCTTTTATAAAGCGAAATATTCTGAGTCAGCCAGGAGTTCTGAAGACACAAAATGGGCAAATAAAGGCTGTAAGCCATCAACATTTCTGATTCTTATCCACAGCCAACTAAAAAAGAAAATGTGAGGGTTTCCTTTTTACCAATATTTAGTTGCTATTACTGGCTTCATTTTTTATGACTCTTTGAGAAAGTTCAGCTATAATTATAGCGGGTGTTATTTCTCTTATAGAGTACAACAACAAGAAATGGGGCCTAAACATCTGCTGTTTTTCATTTAAAAAGCATAATTAGGGTTCCACATAATAATAGTTCTATTTTATTGACTATTTATACTTCTAGAAATAGGATAAAGACAAGAACAAAGAAAGGAAGAATATAAACATTGATTTTATCTTACATAGATTTCTACACAGTCTATAAGTAAATTAGTACAAACATTAATGTCTGGTAAAAATGCTGGAATCTGGCTGTTTATTTTGGATAATGTTAAATTACAGATAAGATAGTGTTATATTGTCTTTTATAATTGTTAAAAATTATTTTATATTTGAATACGGTACAATTAGGCTCATTCTTAGTGTTGTGTTCGTAGATGATTCCACTAAAAAAGAAAATAGACATACAGTAAGGAGCTATTTAAACAGTCAGACAGTAAGCAATATAGGACAACGATAAAAGGTTGTGTTACATTTAATCCTTTACTATTAAAAATGCACTTATACATTATATGATTATAGGAAACACAGATATCCAGTAATAGTGATGCAGGGCAGCTTGTAGGTGAAGCAGCTGCCCTTCAGTGCTTCAGGTGATGTCTAAATAAACCAGGTGATACTAAAATATTTCCACATGAGGAGTTCTGGATGGAGAATATTGACAGACAAAAATTTTTTTTAAATCATATATATATATATATATATATATATATATATATATATATATATATATATATATATTGTATTTTTACAATTTTTGTATAATTACTGATCTAAGTTGATTGTTCTATAGGGGAAAGGGACATTTATTTTACATTTATATTATGTTTTATAGTCTCCATTCACCAGTTAATGATGAATCACTCACTAAATTAGTTGACGATTATTGAAATAATCAATTAATACGATTCATTTTTTCAGCCCTAGATAAAATACATAAAATGGGCTATACAGAGTAACTACAGCCCAGATGTTCAACTTTTATAGTGAAGTTAATATTTTATTGAATGTATTATTTTGTTGGATACAGAGAGAGCATAGTAGGTAAAATATAAGAGTGGGGTTTAACTCTGCACAATTGTATATCTTCAAAAGAAAATACTGTATTTACTTTCTCTATTAGTCATGCAAATGAAACCATTTACAAAGTGGAAAAAAGTCCTAATTCCACATTCATCAGAGCCAGTGATACTTCAAACATTGATAAACAGCATCTAATGAGTGTAGTGCTTATAAAATTTTTATTAATGTAGCAAAATGATGCTTTTCTCTTTTAACAATGAATTCGTCTTATCAGTACTGATGCTCACATCGAGCATAAAAAAGGGCATGCATATTGCAGCACCAATGACACCCGACCAATAGTGTCCCTACCAAAGTTCAAATCAAACCTACGCCCTTGCTGCTGATGAAGGGATTTCTCCTGTCGGCGCACCGCTGGTATGTGGGGGTCTGAGCGCCTCCGACAGAAATAGATAATCTGGATGAACTGACTGCAATTATGAAGTTTTCAGGTGGCCTTTCTCACTTAAAAACATATTAAAACTACTTTATTCCCACTGATCACAGCAAATATAGCTGCAAGATTTAGATTATTTAGATGAAAAAACACCTGCCAGCCGCCGCGGTGAAGAGGAGGAGACCCGCCCAGAGGCTGCTGTTGAATTAAGTTTTCAGGTAGAAAAATAGAGCGGGAGCAAAACTGAGTATGATTGTGCTTTATTCATGTATTTATTACAAAGTATTAATCAAACCCATCAAAGTCATCATCCTCTGTTTCTGAATTAAACAGCTGCGCTAAATCAGACATGCCAATTTCCCCTTCTTCGCTGTCAGTCACTTTCCGTGCAGCGCAGCTCCTCAGAAATAATGCCGGCTTTTGCGAAAGCTTGAACAACAGAGCCAGCAGACACTTTAGTCCAAGCATCTACAATCCATCCGCAAACGGTGGCGTAACTTGCCCGGCGCTGCCTTCCACTTATCCTGAAACTGTGGTCTCTGTCGGTCATCCATCGCTCCCACGCCGCTCACAGCCTTACTTTGAACGGCCGCTTCACACCGATGTCGAGCGGTTGAAGTTCCTTTGTCAGACCCCCGGGATAACGGCGAGCACAGCGTTCATTTGATTCACCATGTTTTTCTCATCAGCTGTGAGATGGGCACGCATGGAGTCACAGATTAACTGCGATGGTGATGCGTGGAAAAAAACACCTGGTCTCCTCACATACACCTCCCTCAGCCACGCTTTCATCATCTCCTCATCCATCCAGCCTTTTTCATTTGCGCTAATATCATGTGTCAGAACGCTGTGTCTGTCTCGCTGTCAGCTCCCAGATCAGCTTCTCTGATTGGTTGATGCGGCGCGTCCAGCAGCAAAACTTCAATTTTTCCATCTGGAGCAGCAGCAGCGCGTTGGCGGTGCGTCAGATGCTTAAACGCTCCCGATGCAGCGCCTGCTGCTCAAAACGCGCTGCAGGACCTTTTGCTGCACCTATACGCGCGTCAACCATTGACTTTGCATGTAAACTCGCTGCTTCTGCTGCACCTGCTGGGTCCAGTTCACACCGATGTCGAGCGGTTGAACAGCGAGCACAGGGTTAATTTGTTTCCCCATGTTTTTCACATCAGCTGTGAGATGGGCACGCATGGAGTTACATATTAACAGCGATGGTGAGGAGTGGAAAAAAAAAACACCTGGTCTCCTTACATTCAGCCACTCCTTCATCATCTCCTCAATGAGGTGGTCTCAAAAGTCGCAGTTACAACACACATAGGGCGCACCGCACCAAAGGGCGCACCGCACATTTTGAGGAAAAAAAAAAGACGTTTAAGTGCGCCTTATAGTCGTGAAAATACGGTAAATATAATAATTATTTAACCAACTAACCAAAAAAAAAAACGAAATTTACTTTCCAAACTAGCTAAATATTTAGTTTGCAAATTAAATATACCATAGTCTGTTAAATATTTAGCTCCAAATATATTATAAGTATATTCTATAACATAAATATATTAATAATTATTTAACAAACTAACCGAAAAAAAAAAAAAACGAAATTTACTTTCCAAACTAGCTAAATATTTAGTTTGCAAATTAAATATACCGTAGTCTGTTAAATATTTAGCTCCAAATATATCATAATATAAATATATTCTATAATATAAATATATTAATATTTATTTAACAAACTAAATGAAAAAAAAAACTACATTTAATTTTCCAAACTAGCTAAACTAAATATTTAGTTTGTTAAATAAATATTTCATTTGTAGCTAAATTATTAATTACAAACTAAATATTTAGTTTAGGTCTAAATTTTATCCAACATCCAAACTTAATGTTTGCAAATTAAAAGTAGTTTGTAAAAAAAAACAAAAAAACATGTTTAGCTCAAAACTTAATATGTAGTTTGTTAATTAAATATTTAAATCCAAATTTATTAGAAAATAAATATATTCTATAATATTAATACATTAATATTAATTTAATAAACTAAATATTTAGCCAGCAGTAAGCCAGCTAAGTATTTAGTTTGTTAAATAAATATTTGGAGCGAAACATTTAATTGCAAAATAAATATTTAGTTTAGAGCTAAATGTTTATTCAACAGCTATATATTTAGTCTGGAGCTGAATATTTATCAAACTAAGTGTTTAATTTGCAAACTAAATATTGACTGCTTAGCTACAAACGGAGCCCCATACTGATCAGCGTCTTCCAGTGATGGAGAGAAGCCGCTCACTGAGATACTCCTGGTTAGTTCAGAACGGACCAGTTCTGAACTAATCTTTAGATTATTTAGCTCCATTGTGTCTAATTTGGGACCGGTTCTGGATCCAATCAGGATCGGTTTCTTACCGTCGTTTGTGTGTCGAACGCAGTCCTGCAGGACGGCGAGCCACTTCTGCTGCTCCTTCTCCGTCTCCACGCAGAAGTAGAGGTGGCGGGCGTACGGATGCCAGAGGATCAGGGGGAACTGGAAGGGAAACTTCAGGTAGGGGGCGCTGCCCACCTTAGCTTTCACACCTGGAAACACAAGCAGGATTCAGAGTAACGGTTGCTGTGGAAACGAGCGATGCTCCACCGCTGCATCGGCACTCACCAGGCAGGCTGCTGCTGATCAGGTCCAGGTACTGCTCCATGCTGGTCAGCACCTTGTAGCCCGCACAGTTGATGGTTCCTTTGGGGGGGAGGTGTTTGTCATAAGCCTGAAGGGTCAAACGAGGCGGGAGGTGTTAGCATGTCAATAAGGGCTCCTTCTTTATCTTCATCGTGTGCGTCTCTTACTGATTTGTTGTCATAGTACTTGATGTTGTAGGTGTCCGGGACAAAGAGGAAGCGGCTCCTCCATTTCTTGTTCTCCTCCAAGCACTGGAAGAGCGACCCAGAGAAGATGGACTTGTTCTCCAAAGGAATCTGAGAGACACAAGGAAGCACTTAAAATGAAAAGATGGTTTGGGATCTTCTCCAATCTACCAAACCTCACAAGCTTTCATCATCTGGACAACAGGGAGAGATCCAAAAACTCTTTATATATCCCAGAGTCTGTATGATCTGGACCAACTGTTAACTGCTTTTTTTTTTTGTTTTTACCTCGATGCTGAAATAAAGCTGCATCATCCTGCTGGTGTTCGGAGACATTAGACCAGAACTTCACTATCAGACTGGGTTTTATTTAATAACCTGAAGCTGCGATGTAGCATCTATCAAACCATCTAAATCAAACTGAAGGGAACTCCTTTGATAGAACAAAGTTGCCAGCAGGTGGCGCTGATATAAAAGAACCTCAGAATTACAAGTCATTTTTGCTCCTTTTTTACATAAAATGACAGCGTTGCACATCTAAACATGTTATGTTTATGTTAATTAAAAAAAATAATCATCTTTGGAAAAAAAAAAAAAATATTAGAAATGTTTAAATATATTTTTATACATAAACACCTGCAGCCTGCGTTTACAGAGTTGGCTGTTTAAAGACTGCTGTGACCAAACTTGAAAGAGTTAAGTGTGAGCTAGATCAGGTAGCAGGAGAGTATTTGCATGGAGAGGAGCGTGCAGACTGCAGCAGGAGTCGACTCACAAAGAAGGAACCTGAACATTAGTCAAACCTTCTACCTCTGTTGCATTAAACCAGAAACCATAAGCTTTGTCCCATCTCTGTTTGACCATTAGAAGTGAACTCCTTCACAGACTCCTGTTCTTCTGCTCTAAGCTGCCTTCTTTACACCGTCTTTGCTCTGGGTGCAATAGAATAGAAGCCAGAATAACTAATGCTAGACTCATCTACTAGAAATTAGGGCTGGGTAAAAAAATCAATTTAATCGATTTTGAATCGATTACTTTACATTTTTGCAAAATCGATGTCTAGGGAATGAGATCGATTCATTTTATAGTGACGCGTTCACATTCAAATAAGCAGGAAAGATGCACTCAAGATGACTTTAAGCCAGACGGCTGCAAATATAGCCAATAGGTTGACTGAAGACATAAAAAAATGGGGGCTGACCAGCAAACACCCTGTAGTTGTTACAGACAACGCTGCAAATATGGTTTGTGCAGTGAAAATACTGCAGCTCATGCATGTCTGCTGTGTCATGTCTGCTTGCTCGAGTGAGGCTTCACTTTTTCACTTTTCACAAACAAGTTTGCACCTTTGAGACACTTTAGGTCACATCTCATGTTTAAACTGTCTGATTTACAAGTTTGCACTTTGTGTTTAATGTGACAGGAAAAAACAGTATTTTGAAACACAGTTGAACCACTTTCATTATCGTCAAAAGAGATCGGATTGAAATTAATCGATTTAGAACTGTATGAATGAAAATCGAATCGATTCAGGCGAAAATACCCAGCCCTACCTACTGGTAATCCTCACTACAGTCTGAATCAGAGCTGAGGTAGAGGAGGATATCTGCATCATGACGAGGGTGAATCTTACCTTACGCTGCAGTAGCTGCGGCTGTGGACCGCCTCCTCCCTCAATGTCGAAGCGAACCTTGTTGAAGAGAGCTACAGCAAACTGCTGTTCATAGAGACGCCCAAACTCTGTCATCACCAACCCGGTCCGAGCTGAAACACACACACAGCATGGCGCCTTTAGACAGTTCCCAGAATCCACAGAACCAGGTGTACGATTTAGATCAGGTTTAAATGCCTCGGTACAAACAACACCGGAGCTTCACTCTACAGACCTCCAACAGAATTTTATAGAAACTCATCGGTTCTTTAGGACAAGAGGGACACCAGGAATTTATGAAATAGACAGACAGGAGCAGGACGCCTCCTCTGGCATCATGCTTCAAAGTTCAACAGGAATCACAACTATGTTGTCATCACATTTTACTGGACTGCTCTGAGGATGTCTGATGATGACATCAGACAGAATGTAAAACGCATCAAATTTCTTAGAAAAACAGATAAAAGTATGTAGCCAGGGGTTGACATTAAGGATTTTTACCACTTGCCTTTTGGGCAAGTGACTTTCACATTTAATTTGCCCAGAAACAATTGTTACTTGCCCAGTATAATGTTTGATAAATATAGTTCCTAATATTAATTTTTGTATATATATCAATGAAACATGTTTGTTTTTTAAATGTTTTTTGTAATTCAGTATTTTTTAAGTTTCCAGGTTCCTGGTGTGTATCTGCATGCGTCAGATAATGAACTGAAGCCTACATTACCGTGTTAACATGCTTTTCAATCCTTCCTGCACATTCTTTTCAAACTAAACTTTGCTTTAAACTGTTGTGTGCTTGAAAAAATATAAATTGTAATGTTAAAAATCTAAAAAAAAAACTTGACAGCTTAAAAACTTAAGATAAATCACAAGACAGAAGTCAATATCACAAATGAATAACTTATTTTAGAGTCACGGTATGTTTATACAAGATAATACTATTAATATTATGGGACTTTTCTAGAGAATAATTATACATAGTTATTTTATACAGGGTTTCCACAGTCTGACATCATTTCAGAATTCCCTGACTTTTAACTGACTCAGGATTAGTTTTCCCTGACAAAATAAATGCAGCAACAAGACAATAATAATAACATAACAGGTCACCAATTTAACATGTTTAGCTCTATAACATTTAAATGCACCTCTCCAACGTCTGAGAGAAAAAAAATGAATAAAAATTTTTTAATGTATGACCTGCATCACTGTACAGAAGACTGCCATATGATAGCGCTTTCTAGCTTGTTTGTCCTTTTGGTAACTACATCAAAATTACCACTAGGTGGACAAAAATCACGACATCTGGTGGAAAATCACCCGACTTTTTCAAATCCCGCGAGAATGTGTACAAAACAACAAAAATGGCACCGGAAACGCTTCTGGGTCGTTTTCAGCGAATGTCTGTGATTTTAAAGTAATTTTGAGTAATAAATAATATATATATTTTTTTACATTATTCATGGTGACCTGGATGAACATCTGGAAGCAGATGCGAGGCAAGTCAAGTTTATTTGTAAAGCACAATTCAGTACAAGGACAATTCAAAGTAGCCTCGTGAGACCATCCTGATCTCGCGAGCTTTCAAGGTTTCACTCGCTAATCAGTCTGGAGACTCTCCGTTAAAGAAAATTTGGAGCCGTTCACCAAACGAACGTCCAATCAGCGTTGGCTTTGAGGCGGGTTGAGGTGTGACGCAACGAGAAGCGCGACAGCTCGGTCTAAAGAACATGGTGGCTTCAGCCGATGAAACTAGCGTTAGCGATGCTATCGAGCAAGTTTTATCGGAATTACAGAGTATTTCTTCACTGAAAGAAGAGCAAAACACTGCTCTGGAGGCTTTTCTCTGAGGAAAAGATGTTTTTGCTCTTCTCCCGACTGGTTTCGGCAAGAGTAGCCTGGCTTGTGGTTGTGTTTTCGTCGTTGCTCTGTTAGTAAGTCATATGCTTCGTTGATCTGATTGGTTTATTTGGCCCGTCTATCACCAACATAGGCCAATCAGCTAACCAGTATTTTCGCCCCTTCCAAAAATTATTTCAACGGAAGGTTGAAGTAATATCCATCTGGCAGAGTCAGGTTAAATTCAAAGTGCTTTACATGAAAATATGAGCTAATATTACAGATTGTCCTTCGGGTAAAGATCAGGACCCTGGTCCGCTAATCCGCGACCTCTGCACTAGACGTTCGGACACTCATAAAATGGCACCGTTCTGGTTTCATGAAGGAACATCCACGGTGGTCAAGTGTAGAAAACTAATCACGTAGTAGTTAGCCTCAGGCTAAATTAACCAAACCAGCTTGAGGAGCAGGGTTAGCGTTAACATCTGAATCTGAGGGAACTTAAAGTTCAAGTAGATTTGATATTAAATCCTTATTTCTGTCATGGTAACCAGCATCCGCATGGAAAGGTGAAAAAAACTGAATGAAGTAAAAGGAAAGTTGGATAGTTTTCCTGCTCCTCTTAAGCAGCATCTGTAGTTGTCTTTAGCTCTAAAGCAGGCATCCCCAAACTCGGTCCTCGAGGGCCGCTGTCCTGCAGGTTTTAGATGTTTCTCTGCTCCAGCACAGCTGATTTTAATTGATAGTGTATTAACAGGCTTTTGCTCGGGACTTCCGGTTATGGCGTCTCAGTGAACGGTGCATGTGCGGATGGCTCGCTACTGAATCCTTTAAACTAATCCGTAAGATAGACCAATATTGACAATTTCGCCTGTTTTGCTAACGGGTAAACGCTTGCTGGGGATTATGCCACCGAAAAATGCCAAGCCGGTCCAACAACCGACTAAAACGGCTCCACAAGTGAGTGCGGCTAATGTAGCACATGCGGCTATTATGGCAAATGCTAACGTGGCAGCGCCGCTTCACCTGGATCAGGCTCAGGATGCGCGAACCAACCGTGATATTCTCGGAGCAATTAGTTTGTTGAAGGAGGATATGAATAAGCATTCTGCTGATATGCTGAAAGCAATTAAGGATATTAAAGGGGATATACAATCGCTCACTGAAAGAATTGGGGAAGCAGAGGCGCGGGTCTCGCAAGCAGAGGACGATGTTGCTTCCCTTCAAAACAGAGTTAAATCATTGGAGAAGACAGTGGAGGTGCTTTGTGACAAAGTGGCGGAGCAAGAGGACAGGAGCAGACGCTGTAACCTGAGGTTGGTCGGGCTCCCCGAAAAATCCGAGGGATCGGACCTGTGTGGGTTCTTGGAGAAGTGGCTCCGAGAGACGCTAGGTGAGGACTTCACTTTGTCCCGCTGCGTGGAGAGAGCCAATAGGATCGGGCCCCTTACCTCCAGTCCTGTGGCTCCAAGGGTTATTTTAATTAAGTTTCTGAGCTACCGGGACCGGGAAGCAACTCTGAAAGCCGTCAGGAAAATGAAGGAGGTGCGCTATGAGAACCACCGCGTCACCTTCTTCCCTGATCTCTCGGCCGAGACTCGCAAGCTGCAAAGGCTTTGATGGAGTGAAGATCCGGCTTCGTTCCCTTAAAATTCGGTATGGCATTCTGTACCCAGCCCACTTGATCATCACACATAATGACAAACGCCGGATCTTCAAATCCGTGGAAGAAGCCGAAAAGTATATTGACGGAATAGGCTCGCAGGCTGAGGACAATTCCAAGACTTAGTATGTATTCGCTACTCTTTTTCTGGCATGGTTCCTAAAAATAACGTTTTGTCTTAAAAAAGGGAAGCATGAACACTGTTAATATTTTTTCTATTACTCCTTTGCAATGTTAGCAAATCTTGCCTTAATTACTGTTATTTTGGTCAGAGCACTTTTTGTTTATGCCAGCCAAGCCATACATGACCATCGTTATGCGTGCAGTTTTTTACGTTACCCACTTGGTGGCTGCAACGTTTCATATAACCCAAGTTCAATATTCAGAAGGGGTTACCGCCACATTTCATTTGGGGAAATATGTGGAGATTTGGGTTATAGGGCTCTCTCTGGACACTGTTTTTTTGTGGACTTTACACTACTTGAATGAGAGAATAGGAAGGGACCAATGTACTTCATCTGTTTACATCTCCAATTACACAACTTATGTCTGTTTGTCCTGTAATTAATATATCTAGTTGGAATGTCAGAGGTCTGAACAAAATTGTCAAGCTTAAACAAGTGATGGGCAGAATCAAACAGATGAAAACTACAATATGCTTTTTGCAAGAGACACATTTGACGGGAAAAGATGTGAATAAAATTAGAGCTAGGTGGCCTGGCCAGGTATTCTCCTCTAGTTTTACAACTCATGCCAGGGGAGTCATAATACTGATTCAAAAATCAATTCCATTTGAACTAAAAAATAAATACTTCGACCCATCAGGGAGATTTATCATTCTTAGTGGAACTATAGTCTCTACAATGGTCAACTTTGTGTGTCTATATGCCCCTAATGGTGATGATCCTGCTTTTTACCAAAATTTGTTTTTAACCATGGCAGCTTATAACGGTCCATTTATAATTGGTGGAGATTTCAATTGTGTTTTAAATCCTGCAGTAGACCGTTCAAACACTTCTGTCTTGTCCCACCAACAAGCTAGGAAAACTATCAAGAAATATATGAAAGATCTGAATTTAGTGGAGGTTTGGAGACAACTTTTTCCAAATAAAACAGAGTACTCTTGCTTTTCAAGCACCTTTAAAACTTACTCGCGAATAGACTTTTTTCTAGTCTCTTCTGGTCTATTATCTACTGTTCAAAAATGTTGGTATGAAGCTATTCTACTCTCTGACCACGCTCCAGTTATTCTATCAATAAAATTACCAAATTATTGTCGGTCTTCAATCCCATTTCGATTTCAAGCTAAATGGTTTAGGTCTGAAGGGTTTGAGGAATTTCTTGAAGGGAAAATAACTGAGTATTTTAATTTTAATACAAACCAAACCAGTGCATCAATAAAATGGGAAGCATTTAAAGCTTATATAAGGGGGGAAATAATGAGCTATACTAGGCATAAATCAAGAATACATCTAAATAAACTAAAAAACATTGAAAAACAAATCAAAGACTTGCAGGAACAGATGTATTATTGCAATGATACTGACAAATATAGGAGACTTCTTTTATTAAAATCAGAATATAACGAGCTCACTACCAGCAAAATAG